TGGAGAACTTGTATGCATTCAAGGGATCATGGACAGTGCAAAATATACACAGATGTTGGAGGTAAACCTGTAGAAAAACTAAACCTCGGTGGAAGGTTTACATTTCAACAGGACAATGATCCCAAACACAGATCAAAGCAACCCAAGAATGGTTTTGGAGAAACAAAATTAAAGTCCTTCACTGGCCAAAATCCAAGACCTCAATCCGCTCGAAAATTTGTGGAGAGACTTGAAAATTGCTGTGCATCGAAGACATCCTTCCAACTTACAAGAACTGGAGGATATCTGCAAGCAGGAGTGGTCAAAAATATCTCCAGCATGCTGTGCAAAGCTTGTGAAGGGTTATCCAAAACGACTTTCAGCTGTCATTGCTGACAAAGGAGCTTCAACCAAATATTAACTGCATAATCATGTTAGGGGTGAATACTTTTACAACATGTGTTATCAAGATTTTTTGTGTTATATCACTTTAGTGAGTAATAATGCACCTTTTGTTCTTTGTAATCATCAGAAACTGGTCTGAGATTAATATAATAAATATTTTTGGACATTTGAGTTATATCTTTTACAAGAAAATAAGTAAAATTGATTACCAGCACAGGAGCGAAGACTTACAAGGCAATGTAGCTTCGTCAATTAGAGGTGTTATAAAATATGTCGTTTTTGTTTTTCATTCTTAATATAATAGCATAATGTGCTGAAAATAAATCATCTTCTAACCACTCATTAGTCTATTTATTCTAGCGTTACACCTTTTAAAACACAAGGTTAATTCACTCTCTAACCACTCATTGTGTTTTGAAGGGTGTAACGCTGGACTAAATTGACTAATGAGTGATTAGAGAGTGAATGTACCTTGTGTTTTGAATGGTGTAACAATAGACTGGTTAAAGGGTGAATTAACCTTGTAGTTAGAGAGTGAATTATCCTTGTGTTTTGAATGGTGTAACGCTAAACTAAATAGACTAATGAGTAGTTAAAGAGTGAATTATCCTTGTGTTTTGAAGGGTGTAACGTTAGACTAAATAGACTAATGAGTACATTAGTCTAGCGTTACACCATTCAAATCACAAGGTTAATTCTCTCTCTCTCTAACCGCTCATTTGTCTATTCAGGCCCTTGTTACCCATTTAAAGACAGATATATATATTTTTAAAAGTTAACACAGGTAATTGTCAAAAACAAAAACAGAATTATTTTTTCTCATGCGATCTACTTAGAAGAAGATAAATGCAAATGTCAGTATATAAAGAATAATCAAACTACTTACCAAACACTTGTCTTCAAGGAGAACACAATCAAACAATATAACAAGCAGTTCCCATCATTTCTCAGGTACTATATAAATACTTAATGCGTTCTGAACAATTAAATTTGAATGCAGTTCCAAAAAATCGATGTGTCATAAAGTTCGTACAAGTTTCATGTGGGCTGTTCTGAAAATACTCAGCTGTTTCGGCTTCCAACACTACAGTCGTCACATTTGATGTCGTTTAATGTTTTCTATTTTGAGTTACTGAAGGTTTTTGATAGAAGTACAGACTGTAAGAATTGCTCAACTGGGAAAACGCAGATGTAACTAGCAGTTCAGTAGTGGAAAAGTTATGTACACGACATCAGACAATTATTATGTGTACTAGATATCCTGGAAAAGGTCATGGAGGGTAAACTACGCCACATGGATGTTAGGATAACAACTAATGGGGCAATCAATAATCACATGATAAGGAACATATTTCATGAATCCGTTTGTAACGTCGATAAGACCGGCTTCGGTATTTTACGGTTCGTTTGGACGTTTATCGAAATCACCACGATTGCTAACAGTGCCATGTTGTGCTTGTACTTTTAAATGATGAATCATAGTTTCATGCCTGTACTCGAAGCCTATGAACAAACGGTATGTTCAGTAGAAGGCCTCTGAATATGACCATACTGGTATCGGTTGCAGTTATGGAAGGAACAAACATCACTATGAATCGGCGTATGCATGTTAATCTACTTCCGAAAGACCAATTTTCTGATCAGAGATATGTTCAGGTAGCATTGGACCCAGTGACGCGGTCTTTCACATGTGCAATGGGATCAGAGTTTGTCGTGATGTAAGATAATGCCCAGTATCATTATGCCAAGATTGTGATTGGCGTCCCTGAACAAAAAAATCATAGAAACTATAGCTCATGGATTAACGGCAATATGTCCATGTTTAAATCCAACAGAATATATGTGGGACATCATTTGTCACCGTGTACATCAACGTCTTATTCCCCAATGATCTCAGAGACTTTGGGGATTAAAATGAATTAAGAATGAAGCAAAATCCCACACACAATGCCATCTGCCAACTGATCAAACATGTACCTTGTAGATGCACATACTATGTCAGTTCTAGGAGGATTCACACTCAACGGAAAGCATCTTTCTTTCTTTTTCAAATATGTGTTTCTCAGACTCGTGGACTCCGTCAAATCCTAACTTCCACCATTTGGTTTTGTAGATACTCATGTTTTATGGGTTACAACAAGCGAACTATTGCCAACAAAGCTGTATTCAGTGAATAAATTGTGCTCTTGAAATATGCTCAACTTCAGCTTTATTGTTCATTTGCTTGATAAATAATTTATATATTAAATCTTACCCCAATAATACTTTTAGTCTGCAAGTATTCCAACACTAACCACCCATTCTAAGAATCATTGAACACCCGAGGTATGTAAGCAAATGATTGTGAGGGATAAAAGACGTCTTCTGAATAATTCAGTATCATAAGTCCTGACTTTTAAATACACAATCCTCACACACAAGATGCTGATAGTTCAAGAGTGTTAAATGTAATCAAAAATTATTTTTTACAGAGTCAATTCTCCGAAATGGGACGGCATTTATAATTTAAAACACACTATGAGTGAATTCTAATGGTTTTTGTTTGTTTTTGCATTTCGCGCAAAGCTACACGAGGACTATCTGTGCTAGCCGTCCCTAATTTAGATGGAAGGCAGCTAGTCATCACCACCCACCGCCAACTCTTGGGCTACTCTTTTATCAACGAATAGTGGGATTAACCGTCACATTATAAAGACCCCACGGCTGAAAGGGCGAGCATGATTGCGAGTCGAGCGCCCGAACCACCTGGCCTTGCAGAAAACTACACGAAACGAAATGATTCGTTTAGGGTATTTTGGGTAAAAAATATTGTTATGTTGACTTAAAAATTATGGTGTTGACTGGAACTCATTTCATATACCTCACAAAGTAACCTTATCCTATTCCAAACAAATTTATCTTATTATTTTCCTTTGGTCAATATTTCACCAGGCGGCAATGTCATAGGTACAATCATTTTACAATGAGAAACAAGAGCAATCAGAGAGAGTGCATACCCCTGCCCCACTGCTTTCTTTCAAGATTGCAAGCGTTTATATTGGATAACATAAAAGTTCACCTTCGAAAACTCAGAAAGTCCTTTTTAGATCCAGAATGATCGACGGTTCGGATCTTTTTTTTTTGTACTTTGATGAGAAGTCTCAACATTAATGTACACACCGGTCTATTAGTTTTTGAGATATACGCGCGGAAACACAAACAGACACACGGACCCGATTTCAATACCCCCCCCCCCTTCTTTCCGGGCGAGAGTAGTAAAACATTATTGTATATTGTTCTCTCGAAATAAGTTGCAATTTTATGTATTAAGCAATAAAAACAAAATCGGTGTAATTGTCAAAATTATATTGCTGTGTATACAAAATAATTCACAAGTAAACAGAATAAATACTGAAGGAAAAGGCAATATTAGCTTTTGATTAATCGTAATTACATCAGTTAAAATATTGAAATCAAAGGAAATATATTATATTCCCTTACTATAATGGATTCTGCCTACTCGCAAAATTCTCCTTGAGATTAAAATATGGGAGAAATTTATTTCCGAAAACACAATGATTTCTATTGCTAATCGAGATCAGTGAATGTCTTATGTAATTATTAATTTGTATTCAGAGTCTATAAACATATCCGAATGTGTAGGTATTTTACTTTTGAATGAGTATTTTGGCAATATAATCTTCTTCCATAATACTAAGGTATTTGAGTCACATATTTACTTGAGTCACAGTGCATTTATGCACGGTTATTTAAAATGTGTACATTTGTAAAGTAAAGGAGTAGAACAGGAAATGAAAAGAAAATTAAAAGTCTGTCTTTCAAGCACTACAACTAGCTCAAATTATTTCCTAATCACACTTTTCAAGGCCAGCTGCGCTTGTGCTCATTAATTGCTGTACGAATAGCATTGTTGTGATGGGTGGGTGGATGTGACCATGGAGAAGGGAATTTGGCATCAAAGAGGACGTTTAAAGGCGTATTGTGACTTGCCAACAGGTTTAAAAGGATATATTATCCCGGATGTTACTCAGAAAAACAACTGCAAGTTATGTAAGTACAACTTTATTTCTAACACTTACGTAATACTGGAATATCTTTTGTAACTGATGGTAGGGTGGTACACTGAAAATTTCAGTTTTATCTTAATTTTTCTTTTGTTTGATGATTTACCAATAATTTCAGAAAACAACAACAACATAAAATGTTTTAAGCTTTATCATTTTCTACTAATAGATTTATACGTGACATATTATGAATCAAGAAATCTTCACTCAGCAACAACAAACTATATTCCACGATTTTCGAGGAAGATCAGGAAGAACAAGACAGAAAGTTGAAAAATAACCAAAAAGAAATTTATAGAAAATTATAACAGGATCGAGAAGAAAGAGATAGCAAAATAAAAGATCAAGAGGTAAGAGACAGGAATTTAAGAGAGGAGTTACAAGAAAAGATGTAATAGTTAGGAAAGAAACCAAATAACAAAATCTGATTAAATAAAAAAAATCGATAAACTACTGGAAGTACACAGATAGATTACAACAACAGGTTTGAAGAAGTACAAAAGACAAGAACGAAGTAAAGAAAGGCTGTTATGATAAAACTGATGAAATAAAGACAGACATCGAGAGGTGGGAAAGAGCATCACTGAGGTAGAAAAGAATGTCAGCGACAGAATAAAACATCTGTAAAAGTAAACATCTGCAAACATTAAACTAACAACACCTCTTTCTGATTGGTTCAGGAGTTCCAACCAAAATGTCATCAGCTACAAAATATGGAATAGAAGAGCTTATTTGGTGTACATCTATTACTGATACTGCTATGCTACCTGTTACTGAAGGACCTTCTTGAACTACTCCAGTCATGACACCACCAAATCAAGTTCCAGAATTCAGCTGGCCAATTCAACATCAGCCAATTGATGAACCAGCGTACTATAATGGAAAGGTACCATGAGAGTTATATCAAACACAGTATAAAATCATTTACAGAGTGAACAGATAGGATAGTGAACAAAAGCCATCCATCACACTGCTAATGTGAAAGGATTAGCCTTGACAAAGTTAAGTAACATTCCAACTGCGAGCTGTAACAGCTATCAAGCATTGGTAGCCAACTTATCCAATAGGTTTAGAGTGTTACACCAGAAAGAAGTATCCAGAGCAAAGTACTGGAACAGGTATGGAGGATAGGAAATATTTTAGGCAAATTTGCTGAACATTTGGAAAGGCATACCGTATTATTTTACCAAAACTAAACATCAACAAACGCAAAATAAAGAAAGCTATCTTAATTGAACAAAACATCCCTATTCTAAACGAACACCCCGGGATACCAGAATACCTTTACTAAGCTGTTAAGCAATCCTCGGTCATGTGACCTCATTGTTTCATATTGTATATGTATTCCTGTGTCTATGTAAATACCTGCACTTCATGATGACATAAGCTCGTCAAACGTTGTACATTTGTAATATGTAATAGATTCTTTCACTATCTATTCAAGCCGTCTCCAAACTTTATTTTCTAAAAATTGGGTTCCTCGTCATCAAATTTGTTATACACTATATTTTTAGTCTTATAATTTAGATGTTATCTAGAGGGCGCATGACGTTAAAATCAAGCAAGTCATAGAATACTTTGAATATTCGTGTATATTAATGAACGAGAGGTTTCGTGAAATATCTAGGACAAGGATTAGATTACAAATATGAGTGGGTCCGTCAGTTAACTAAGTAAGCTTGCAATGAAACAGTAAAGCATCAATAAAACTATAGCTGAGGAATAGTTAAAAAGATGGATACGAAAACTGTACATTTGCTACAAGATATTATAGTAGTTTCTTGCCAGTAGAACGAATCAGTGAATGTTTTTCTTTTGTTTCAGCCGTGAAGAAGTACAAGTAAGTTTATTCTTTATGTTAGTATAGTGCAGTTAGAAGGGACTGAATTCCGAAATTTTGTGTCATAAGTCATCAAGCTTGCTGTTGAGTCACCAGGTGGGTGGACAACGTAGGAACGCTAACAGTAAACCTATCAAACCTTTATAATCCTTAATGAATACGAAAACAAACTTAAAAACTCTTAATTTTTCTTTTTTCTAACTCAGGCTGAGGTCCCTTTTTCCTTCATAGAGAATTTAAGCAGTTTACTTTAGCCAAAACAAAACAGGCTGCATAATAAAAGATGCTAAAACTTTCTCCAGATTTTCCCGG